TTAATATATATATTTTAAGCTTACTGACCTATAACCCGCAGTAGCCAAAAGGATTTTATGGTTAATTTTGGGAGCGGGCTTATTTTTTATATTTTTGTTTTAATAGATTGTTGGTGAGTAATTTTAATAATAATTTTACTTAATAACAAATTAGGCTTAATTATGCTGGAAACATATTTCATTTATTTATATTTGTAGGTGAATAAGGATTTTTTGTTGTTGCTTTAAAAGATGTGTTAATATTTGAACATTTTAGATATTACCCAAAACATTTTGTTTTTAAGTGATGCTAAACTAAGAATTTGCTTTTTAGTACATTTTATTGCTAAGGCAGTTTTATGTTTTATTTTTATTTGTTGTTTATATAGCAGCTAGAAGGTGTTGTTTAGCCACCAGTACATATTTTATGTTGCTTTTAGGTTTATTAGATTTATTTGTATTAAATTTATAGTATTATTTGCTTGTTTGTGAATGAGATTATTTGCAGTTGTGACAAGAAACAACTTATTTTTAATTACCTTTAGGTTTACAGTAATTATAATTTTTGCTTTAAAGCGAATTTTTTTTAATATGGTGTTTATGATATTTTGTTTGGTTTGGTTATTGGAGTGCTGACGTTTTTATTTAGGCTGTTATAATAGGAAGGGAGTAGGGTGAACATTTGGGTTTTAATTTAGATATGTTTAATTGAGTTTAATACATACTAATTTTTATTTGTATTAATAATGGATTTAATAAGACTTTTACTGGATTATTTTGAATTATTATTGTTGTTTTTTTTAATTGGGGTATTTTTTTTGAATGCATAGTTTTTGGTTTAGGTTTTGGTGCATGTGTTTGGGAACTATAGATTTAATTTATTACGGGGTACTGGATAGTATTTTACAATAACTGTTAGTGTGGTTTTTGTTTTAATAGGCTTATTTTATTGATATGGTAATTGTGGGTAGCTGGATCTTTAGGTGGTATTTTTATAGGGACTTTTTATTTTAACCTTTATTTTTTAGTGTTTTGGTATTTTTGTGGTGCTTATAAGGTGAACCTTAAGGTGGGGTTTTTTTTTTAGGCATATATATTGGTATTTTTTAAGGGTTTTAAGAGTTGGCTAGTATTTTTATTATACCATTTTTTGCGGATTATTGGATTATGGGTAGGAATTTATGATTGGTTGGCAGGGAGTGAATTATTTTTTTAATATTGGCTTATAAGGAGGGGTGCATTTTTTTTATGATTGCTTTAGTTATTTGGGCGCTAAAAGTTTTTAGAAGTAGGTAAAGCCAGATCTTATACTGGAGTTTTATTTTTTCTGGATTAAAATTGTGGTGGTTAAGCAGCACCTTGTGCTTAGGTTTTGGGGTGGGTTTTTTGGCAAAGAATTTAAACATTATTATTTATGTAAATAATTTAATTTGTGAAATATGTATTTATTTTATTTTTTATTTTTTTTTAATATGGTATAGTAATGGGCTAAGGCGGTTTACTATGGAGTAAGGGCTTATTTATTTTGATTTTAGTGAGTGATTTTTAATTTTATTTTGAGATATATTATTTGATTTTTTGTTTTTTATAGGGCTGTTTTTGTGGGGTTTTGTTTTTTGAATTTGTTGTTTATGTGTTTGATGGCCTGATTAACTCTATATTGAAGGGTGATTTAAAATTCTACTACTACAAGGGTGCGATGGAGCACTCCTCCTTCTCTTTTTCCTCCTCGTCACTGAGGAAGGAGGGTGCCCTTGTCAGGGGGAAAAGGGAGGAAGGTCATGAGTCCAGAGAGGAGGGTGGAAGTGGGAGGAGGTCATGTCTAAGCAGAGGTGACTCGGGCATGTCAGATACAAGCTGGTCTTTACTGTATCTAAATTCCTGGGGAGGAGGAAGGAGCATCATCAGCACTGGTAGATGACTGGGTGCCCAGGTGGAGCTGAAGACTTGGTTAGTGTCGAGGACTTGCTTGGTGCCGACGGCTTTGTTGGTGCTGAGGACTTGGTCAGTGCTGGCAGTTTTGGCGGGGCCAAGGACTTGATCTGTGTCGATGGTTTCAGCTGTGCTGAAAAGGACGTCATTGCCAGTGGTTTTGTCAGTGCCAAGCTCCTGAAGTCGGAATGTTGTGGTCTCCAGTGCCGAGAGATGGTGCTGAGGTCTGTAGCTCTGCCTGGTTAGGGTCCCTAGACTGCAGTTTCATGCCGGAACCAGAGGTAGTTGGGTTCTGGAGCTATGTCCCCTGTCAGATGATGTTGAGACAACTGACCTCACAGGGGAAGGTGTTCTGGCAAGCTGTGCCTTAGAGTGTGAGGAGGGAGCCTGTTTTCTTGTCAGAGCGAGAGAGAGACAACTTTCTCTTAGAGAGACGTGGGGAATGAGGATCAGCAGGTGACCTGGCAGAGTGTGAAAGCCACATAGGGGGAGAGTCCAGGTCCGATGCTGGGCGCTGTGATTTCTACATGAGGAGAAGTCATAACCGAATGTTCCAGTCTTTTCTGGCCCTGGCAGTCAAGTTGTGACAGTAGGAACACTTTTGTGGGATGTGTCCCTCTTCCAGACAGTGAACACACTGCTGGTGGCCGTCCATTACTGGAGGGCATTACAGCAAGAGATGCACCTCTTAAACCTGGGAGATCTGGTCATAAGGGTGAGGAAAAAAGCTTCCTGTTTGGAAGGGTGAGAAGCAGGGAAATGAAAATCTAATTGATGAGGTAAATATAAAGGTGAAACAAAAACAATTTTTTTTTTGATAAGAGGAAAGAAGAAGTTCTAAACTACACTAAAACTGACAGGTAAGGCACTACTCTAATGAGGGAAAAAGGAGAAGTGGGCTGTTCTGCGGATTCTGTCCCAAACCAAAGGCGGTAGAGAAGAATCTGGATGGGAGCAGGGGGCAGTCAGACAGCACAATAATATATATACGTCCCGCTCACGGCGCAAGAGAGGGGAGGTGCGAATGTGCAGTCTGACGGGCACTGCTGATGAAGAGCTCTGATCCCAGAGGCAGGGAGTGCTGCTGCACCTACAGTGGAGAACCCATAGGGACACTATTCAAAGAAGAGTTAATCTTCTCAGCAGCAGCCTGCCAGCATTTTAATAACTTTATTAAACAGCAGCCTACTGTGGCCTGGATTCAACCTGGCTAATTTCTTGGGCAGTCCATGACTGAGATGACTAGGGTGACTGTTTTCCTCGCAGTTAAATGTTCTATAGCTTTTAAGGATTAATTTTAAAATGAATGGGAAGGATTCACCCAAGCCAGTGTATTTTCAGAGGTCCTGTCAACACAGTAGTTTTCTCCAGCAAAGGAGGTAATCTTTTCAAAGACCCTTTTAGCTCCATATGCCTTTCAAGATCTGATACACTGGAGTTCAGAATACCATTTAGATGGTGTTTTTCCATTGCTCTAAATTAAACGTTTTCAAATAGATTAAACATGCATCTATTCTTTAACTTCTTGAGTTTTTGTAGTCATGTTTAGCAAAGACAGCTACACAAAGTATAATTAGTAGGTATATTCACTGCAAGAGCCTTGTCTGCAACCTTATTTGTGCCTCTTACAGGCGGACCTTAGATTATTAAAATTGCATTCCTTTGTGATTTAGATCAATATATCTCTATTTTATATATGTATCTATCTATGTATTTTACCCACTAAATATTGAAGGTCTGAAATTATTACCTTATCCTCTTTGGTATCACCTGAAAACTCTTTTGTATATGTTGAGTGGGATTTATTACATTATCCTAGAGCTGTGCATGAGATATTTTGAGCTATATAACTTTTGTGAAAGATATGGTATTTCCTGAAATACTCTTTAAACACCTTATGGTGTTAAATTTATGTAACTTCTTCATGGGCAGATGTGACAAACATTGCAACTCCATGCAGCATCTTTGGGGTCCATTGTTTTAAATGAATGGTTTACGTAGGACTGTTCTATTCCATGGGGAAGGGCTACCACAGCTCCTACAGGAACTAAAACAATAGGTGGTTAAGGCAAATCAGGCAGTTTGTAATCTCCCCAGAGAGATACCACCTCCTGGGGAGGCTCGCATATAGTAATTCAAACTAGATTCCACAGAGACCAACAGGCAAAGAAAAGACTATGGGATAAATAGCCTGAGTTTAAACTGACTCAGGGCCTTTCTTTCTGATCCAACAAATGGACAGGCCCTTCTGTCCAAGGGGTTCCAATTCTTCCTGGGAAAGGGTTGGAAGGACTTTGGCCTACTGGGGCCCCATAAGACATATGGGTGATCTCGGGTAAGCTTATTAACATGCATGCAGGTTCTTTTATTGTTTTTAATGTTTTCTCTGTAATACTTTCACCTTAAGAATAACTGTGCTTGCTTATAAAGGGCTGTGTGGTAACTTATAACTGCTACCAATTATGTTGTTCGTAGCCTTCAAAGAGAAAGCAAAGTGCAGACACTGGCCTGGTTAGGCAGTCTGGCTTGCTGGGACTATCACAGTGTAAGCAGGGAACTGTGTAGCCTGGAAAAGCCCCTGGTCAGGAGGGAGAGAGACGTGGGTCTCCACCCAGAGATGTGACAGCTGAGGAGCCTGGAGCCTCAGGGGTGCCTCAAGGGACCATGGAGGGGGAATATGGTGCAACTGCCCTAAATTGTGACAACTATTAATTGCATAACTATTATTTATAAAAACTAGACTAACCTCTCCCAGGCACCAGGAGGTAGCCCTGTTAGTCTGTATCCACAAAAACAACAAGGACTCCGGTAGCACCTTAAAGACTAACAGATTTATTTGGGCATAAGCTTTTGTGGGTAAAAAACCTCTGCATGCTGTACTACACCTAGCACAATGGGCAGATGATCTTTCTTGGGGTCTCTGACACTACCATAACAGAAATTAATTTTTATTATTAATAGGAGTTAGAGAGAACCTATTAATATATACATGTGTCAAAAATCATACAGAATGCATAATAATTACTATCTTAGATATAACAGAAAATGCTGCAGTTAAAAAACACACACAAAAACATGCCTTTCCTTACCTGCTCTACGCCAGAATTTCATGTGTTTAATTCCAGCTGTTATCAGTTTATCAGGCATATAAGGATTAATTTTAACAACAAAAATCTTATCTTTGCTTCCTCTGAAATAAAAAAGTAAAATATTTCACTACCTTTATACACAGACAAATGTATACAGTCATATTTTTCTGTCCGATTGTCCAGCTTACTAATGTCTATCTCACAAAACATTCCTATAGCTCTTAAAATTCTTTTATTAGGAGAAATAGGAAGGCAGGCCATTGAACTAAAGGTATTGAGTTCATTGCTATTTTTATCTCACTCTTAATTTGACAGTTTGCAGATTAGAAATCTGAAGAAACTGCTCTACTTCAGCAATCCACTCGACAGCATTTTCTTTGTAAAAGAATATACTTGACCCAAAATAATGCAATGATATTTATTCTTTCGGAATTAAGCCTTGATAGCAAATTAAGGGCTATAAGGTTACGTTAATTGCAGACCTTATCTACATCAGTTTCTCATTCTGAAAATCAATGACAACATCCATACACTTTTTACTGAACTTTTCCATCATTCTAGTGGACTTAAACAATAATGGGAATGACAATGTTTGTCACATCTATGTTACAATACCTATCTTCAGCAGTTTTTGAAAAAAAACCCTGTCATCTTTGTTTGCGGACACATTTTGTATTTCTTTCTGTTCCTAAATACAGACATACAATACACAGCTACAGGTGCTACTGTTTTGAAAGATCCTATCACTTTCAGCTATATTTCCTATGTAAGAGAAAATGATTTACCAGTAATTCTGCTTCTCTGAAAATATCATTTTGTAGGAGTCTCACTCATGGGTATTTGCTCCTTAGTGCAACAATGGGAGAACTCCTTTAGCTTGTAGCTTCTTAAGATTTTTTGACTCTGAGGGCACCACAAGCCAGTCCGTTACTAACCACATTACACCACAATCTGTCATGTATAAATGCTGTCCTTCAACACTGCAGCCAATTCCAATGACAGAGTTTGAGGTGAAGCTCCCCAGATAGAAAAGCCAATCCAAAATGATCAACATAAGATTAAAAAAGGGGTGCCGGGGGAGGGTGGGATCAGTAAAAAAAAGGTGCCAGAGAAAAACACCTGAGAAAAGGCTGAGGTGAACAGATGAAATCCTACAAAATGTAATCTACTTTGAAAATAAGTTATTGAGCATGACGAGTCTAAAACAGGAGTCCATTCTGGAGGTGAAATCCAAGCAATAAATGCTTAATATATTATGTGGAGTAGACTATGTATCTGCTTTGAGGTTTCTTAATGAAAATATACCTGAAGCAGGAGATGGTGACAGTGTTGCTTCAAAATGAGTGCTCCTTGACAACGCCTTTAGTATCAAGCAATCCTGGTGGTAGCAATGTAAAATGCAATCATATTGTCTTCTTAGTAATATACAGTACTGCCCAGTGAAGTGGCATCAAATGAAAAAGATGTGTGGACTTTCTTAAGGCTTTTGTCTTTTCCAAAAACAACACTAAGCACCTTCAGACATCAAGTGTAGGGAGAGGAGTATTCCGGAATGGACATGCAAAACACACTGGCAGGACAAACAGCTTATTAAAGTGGAATTCAGACACCAACTTAGAGAGCAACCTTCAATATGTCCACAGCACTGTCTTATCCTGGTAAAATATGGTACACATTGGGTCTGTTACAAGGGCTTTGCAAGGAAAACTCACTGCTACCAGGTAAAAATTACTTTCAATGTGAGAAACTTAAACTCACAGAGACTGAGTGGCTTAAAAGGAGCTTTCATCAGTTTTGTCATCTTGATATTATGGTAATATCCCATGACACAGGAGGCTTTTTAATCGGAGGTTTTAAAAGCCTCAAGACCTGCATGAACCTGACAAGGGACTGCATAGACATTGCACCGGTTGACCTTCAATTAGTTCACTATTGGCCAGAATGGCTACCAAATGTATCTGGATGTAGTTAGTCTTTCACTTAGGGCAGGTCTACACTACCCGCCTGAATCGGCGGGTAGAAATCGACCTCTCGGGGATCGATTTATCGCGTCCCGTCAGGACGCGACAATCGATCCCCGAATCGACGCTCTTACTCCACCAGCGAAGGTGGGAGTAAGAGCCGTCGACGGGAAGCCGCAGAGGTCGATTTTGCCGCCGTCCTCACAGCGGGGTAAGTCGGCTGCGATACGTCGAATTCAGCTACGCTATTCGCGTAGCTGAATTTGCGTATCCTAAATCGACCCCCCCTGTAGTGAAGACGTAGCCTTAGACAGGTGAAAAGACAAGTCAAGTAGCTTTTCTGGTGAGGACAAAGTGTCCACTCAGTCCTGTTTGCATGACACCACAGACCATTTTTTAACTGTAGGAACTGGAGTTGTAGGTGCTTCTCAAGTCTCCTTGGAAGCTCTCTACCAATATAGAACTGCCCTCATCTCCAGAATAATTATGTCCAAGTGCAGTTCCTATAGAGATAAAAATTCTCTGGGTGCGTAGTCCTCTGTATTGGCTCCCCATACCAGGTTAGACACATCTGTGGCTACTACAGTTTGGAGAGGAGGTATTTTAAAGTCAATTTGTAATTGGTGATTGTTCCTGAACTGTCAATGGGTCAGAGCAGCCTGGAGGCTGTCTGCCATCAGATGAGATGCGAAAGTTCCTGAAAGTTATTGGAACTGCAGGGTCTACTGAGCTTACCTCATATATAGAGCCCTACCAAATTCATGGCCATGAAAAACGCGTCACGGACCATGAAATCTGGTGTCCCCCCATGAAATCTGGTCTTTTGTTTACTTTTACTCTCTACTATACAGATTTCATTGGGGAGACCTGCATTTCTAAATTGGGGGTCCTGAACCAAAAGGGAGTTGCAGGGGGGTTGCAAGGTTATTTTAGGGGGGTCGTGGTATTACCATCCTTACTTCTGCACTGCCTTCATTGCTGGGCAGCCAGAGTGAGGTGGCTGTTGGCCGGGCGCTCAGCTCTGAAGGTAGCGCCCCGCCAGCCGCAGCATAAAAGTAAGCGTGGCAATACCATACCATGCCACCCTTACTCCTGTGCTACTGCCTTCAGAGCGGGGCGGCTGGAGGGTGGTGCTGCTGACTGAGTGAGGGTCCAGCTCAGCAGGCAGCAGCCTAGAAGTAAGGTTGGCAATACCATACCAATCCATCCTTACTTCTGCGCTGCTGCTCCAGTGGCTCTGCCTTAAGAGCTGGGATCCCGGCCAGAAGCCACTGCTCTCCAGCTGTCCAGCTCTGAAGGCAGCACAACTGCCAGCAGCAATGCAGAAGTAAGGGTAGAAGCACCGCAACCCCCATTACAATAACTTTGCGACCCCTTGACAACTCCTTTTTGGGTCAGGACCCCTACAATTACAACACTGTGAAATTTCAGATTTAAATAGGTGAAATCATGAAATATACGATTTTTAAAATCCTATGACCATGAAATTGACCAAAATGGACGGTGAATTTGGTAGGCTCCTACTCATATGCAAACATGTCCTGGACACCACGAATAGCGTTGCAGCCATGAGACCCAACATTAGTAGCATTGTCTAAACTGTTACCTGCTAGCTCTCTTGCTGATCCATTGCGCCCAACTGGGAATGTCTATGATCCTGTTCTAGAGAAGGAAAATTGATTTGAGCTGTCTAGTGGGGCTCCTGTATACTTCAATTGTCTGCGGGGGACTGTTGAAAATGTGGGTAGTTTATCACATATCCTAGTGACTCCATTCAGGTAGTGATATGGACTGTTCTTTCACATGATCCAAAGTAGGGTCCTTAATCAGCCAATCAGCCAACTTAGTGAATGTGCATGCTCCCAGACTGGGCAAGTAGGCAATGACTTTCATCAAGAATTTTGTGAACATACCCAGAATAGACACCAATTCAAGAGATAAGACAGTGAAGGAAGTGATGTTCCTTTACCTCATATCTGAATACTTGAAGAGCATTCTAAGGGGCTTGCAAGCATTTAGTTCTAGAGCACATAGCAATTAAACTTCATCTAAGAGAGTTGTAGTGGCTTCCAGGGTAACTAGCTAGAATTTTTTTTTGACCCAATACTGATTCAGTTCCCTGAGATCCAAGAAGGGCCAGAGATTTCCCATCTTTTTTCTGCCTGAAAGTATGTACAATAAAATCCTTTTCCTTCTTTTACTCAGTGGCCATGGCTTTAACGTTCTCTTTGCCAGGAGGGACAAGACTGCCTGTAGCAGCTCTTCTTCATATTGAGAAGCCTGAGAGCATTCTTGAGAATGAGGAGCACAATTTGGAAGACTTTCTGAGAACCATTTGTAGGGGGGCACCACCTCATCTGATGAGCTCAGTATCATCTCCTTCAAATACCAAGCCAGGTCAGCAATAATGTCAGGCAAAACAGGCACTGGGCCCTGCCACTCAGAAATTTTGACTGACTCGGGCTTTGGCACTCCAGGCCAGACTTGTGCCTTCCTAAGATGCCTGAAGGACAGCTTGTTGGACCTCCCCATATTTCCTCAGCACTTGGAATTACATTTCTAGACATATCTAGTACCTCTGCACATCATGAATGATGCCAATGCAGACAATATAACAAACATGGTCATCAGTTTTAAACACTGTTTTGCCACACCGGCCAAGTTTGAAACTGCAGAGCAGTCTTTTTAACTCCCTGTCTGCATACCTGAAATAAAAGAAAAGTGTTACCAGTGCACCAAAGGGAACCTCAGACCAAAAGACACAACAAGTGCTGAGCACCAAGATAGGTGTAGGAATGAGAAAGATGTCTTTATTACTTACAGCTCAGCACCTAACAAGCTTTGGCTTCGGAGTGCTGAGAACAGCAATGCAACAGAGCTAAGGTGCTAGCCAAAAGAAAACACATATATATGGTAAAAAGGCTCTATATTAATGGGTGGCACATAAAGCAATGTGCCAAAGTTCTGAGAAAATATGTACCAAATTATGACAAAAAGCAGAATCCAATGTGCCTGAGGCAAAAGACATCAGAAATTTAGAAATACTGTACTTCACCTGACTGAAAGGCAGAGTTGGATCCAGGAAAGAACACACAAAGAGCTTCAATGTTGTGTGCACAATAGGCACTGAATAAAAAATT